CTTTCCTTAAGTTGCATTTAATTTTATTTTTCTCTTAAGAAGCATTTACAGGAGAGAAAATGTAATGATGGTGCAGGGAAGAGCCAGGCACTGATGGGAAGGAACGGGAAGGGGATGCCAGACTGACCTGGAAGAGTGTTCTCAGTAGCAATTTCTTTTTTTTATTAATTAATTATAAATTGACTTATTACCACAGGTTTATTATTAACTAGCTCTTACAACTTAAATTAACCCATAATTCTTGTCTATGTTTAGCCACGTGACTTGGTACCTTTTATCAGTGAGGCATTCTTACCTTGAGTAGCAATTTCTTATACACAGAAAAGAAAGTTATTAATACCAACCTCATAGAAAGAACAGAAGCAAGTGAATGTGTTTTTCCTAGATAATTCTGGCAGCCTGCTTCTGACAGTCCATTGCAAAAATCATGGTAACATGATTTCATAGCCTTTGACATCTGGCTGCCTGCAGAGACCATGTGGCAGCCCGGCTTGACAGAGTCCAGTTGCACAGATATTTTTACCCAGCAGAGCTCCAGTTTCCTCTATTCCTAAGTAAGGGTGCCAAACTCACCTCAGAATGCATGGCATGGGAGTGTAAGAAGCCAGGCATCCCAATTATCTTTAGCAAAGTCCTCCATCAAGGACATGAGCCTCCTTCCTTTTCTTTTCCTTTAGTGAATTGTAACCAGAATCAGCTTTAGATGCCTGAATTCTCCACTCCCTGAGAGAACTCCTTAGACAGCTATAGTCAAGGTACATGTCTTGCTTTTTATAGGTCAATGCCCAAAGCTAATGGAGTCACTTAAAGAGAATCACACAGAGGGCTTGGGTTGATTTTAACATGAATAGTAAACTCTGAGTATTCAACACAATAGGCTCCAGCTGTTCAGTGCATCCCTACAAGGCCAGCTTAGGTCCTCTGCAGCCAACTCAAAAGGAGTAACTGCATTTGCATACATCATACGGTGGAAGCTTTGTGACAAGTTCTTTCCTCAAAACTACTTGCTTGTCATTATTAAAAATGATACCAGACTTGTTATCCCCAAGGCCAAGGGGTCATTGTGTAAGAGGAAACAAAATGTTTGTGGAGTCAGAGGGAGCAGAATTCTCCATTGAGTCAGTATTTTTCAGATATGACAATGTACGATGGAGGAAGGTCATTGGTTAATTATATAATAAAGGAACTGCTTGGCCCTCATAGGTTAAAACATAGGTGGGAGGAGTAAGCAGAACAGAATGTTGGAGGAAGAGGAAGTGAGCTCAGAGGCCATGCTCCCCTCTACCGGGCAGATGCAATGAAGCAAGCCGCCAGGTCAAACATGCTGAATCTTTCCCAGTAAGACTCATGCTACACAGATTACTAAAAATGGGTTAGGCAAAATATGAGAATTAGCCCTTAAGAGGCTAGAGCTAGTGGGCCAAGCAGTGTTTAAATGAATACAGTTTGTATGTTGTTATTTCGGGTAAAGCTAGCCAGTGGCAGGAGCTGGGTGGCGGAATGCAACCTGCAGCTCCCTCAACAAATGTATAAACTAATAGTGGGTGAGCATACATGCAAAAAGTTGGACACGATCAAGCTAGCAGAAAGTCACAGCATGGATGGGAAGGACCTAATGAAGTTGCATCCCTAGCTATTGGCAATTGATGGCTTCTGGGGAAGAGAGATCCAGGTTTCTTCAGTAATGTGTGCCCTGAGAGGTTACCCATGCTCCTGGAGAGGGTCCCATTCCATTGCTCATACAGGCAGCAGGAAGCCAACTCAGTGGGTCTAAGAAAAACAAGTTGGCTGTGGGTCTTTGCATCTGCTCCCATTAGTTACTGAATGAAGCCTCTCTGAAGACGATTATACAAGGCTCCAGTCCCTGAGTTTAGCAGTGTGTCTTTAGAAATCATTTTTTTGACTTTGCCCCCCAATGTGTTTGGTTCTATCCTAGGTCTCTGGGCATATCCAGTATCAGGCATTATCAGGCATGGGTCTCAAGCTGATCAGTCATTGGTTGGCCACTCCCACAAGTTCTGTGGCATCTTTACCCTAGCCCATCTTGCAGGCAGGACAAATGTAGGTCGAAGGTTTTATGACTGGGTTGGTGTCTGAGTCTCTCCACTGAAAGCCATGTCTGCTTACCAAAGATGGCTGGAGAAGACTCTGTATCCCAATTACTAGGAGTCTTAACTAAGGTCACTCTAGTAGATTCCTGGGAGTTTCTACTATACTGGAGTTCCACCTCACCCTGAAATGTGAGGAATCCTATGGAAGAGGGGGAAGAATGGTTGTAGGAGCCAGAAATGTCAAGGATAACACAAGAAAACCTACAGAATCAACTAACTAGGACTCATAAAGTCTCACAGAAACTGAAGTGACAAACATGGACCTTATTTGTGTCTGAGCTAGGTTTTCTGCATATATTTATGGTTGTGTAGCTTGTTGTTCTTGTGGGACTCCCAATAATGTGTGTGGGGGTTGTCTCTGAGTCATTTGCCTGCACTTGGGACCCATTTCCTCCTACTGCATTGCCTCAATCCAGCCTTAATATGTACTGTATCTTGTTAGGCCCTGATCAGTCAATATCTGTGAGAGGCCTGCCCTTTTTTAAAGGAAAAATGAGGAGGAAAGAATCTGGGGGAAGGGAAGGTTGGTGAAGGAGGGACTGGGAGGAGAAGAGGGAGTGGAATCTGTGGTCAGGATATATATGAGAGAAGAATAAATTTGAAAACACTAGCTGAGTAGCTTCTTGTAACTTCCACCAAACTTCCCTGGCAATCTTAGCACTAAAATGATCAGGAAAGGTAAATACAGTTTGCAAACCTAAGATGAAGGTGAAAGAAGCTTTTGCACCAACAGTCAGAAGAAAGGAGAGACAATCCTTCTTCTCACTCCCATTCCCAGACCTTCATCACTACCAGACAGCTTTTTCTGGAGTGCTTCTCTTATAGGTTTGGTTTTTTATTTTGATTGGTTTTGAAAGACATAATCCATAAACCACTAGAAATATCACTTCTAAGAAAGGATCATTATGCTTATATTTATCGATAAAGAAGGAAAAGTCTCACAGCCAGGTTCCAGGACAGTCTTCTCTTGCTTATCTCAGGCCTGTCTTTTGGGGAAGATGTAGCTAGTTGTGTGAGTCACTACACATACGTCTCATTAGAAAGTCATTCTCTTGAAGGTAACATGTCTCCACTCCCTGCCATAAGGGCCTCCTGGGAAAGGCTTACTTCTTTGCATTATGAGAATTACACATAAAATCTGGGTGATTTTTTTTTCAAGTTCTGATCTACACCTCATTGTGTACTTTAATCAGCTGTGGTAAGCTGTGTAAATGGAGCCTTAAGATAAGGCAGTTCTCAGTAGAATCTTTTAGTACAATCATTCAGTGGGTAATACAGATAAATGATTGGCCTTTACTAGTATCTCTTTCTGGTGCAATCACAGCTCTAATTTTTAGCTCACTGTCTGTAGAAGTGCTCCGCAAGTATGGTCATAGAACTATGGAGCCCCAGGATACATGACTGTACCAGAAGACGACATCCTAGTGATTCAAGAATCACAGTGCTCATTTATCGGGAGCTGCTGGTGCACTCATGAAATTGCCATCCATTAACAACCTCTTGGTGTTTTTAACCATGGTGCACAATTTATATAGTGTGCATTATTTTAAAATATTGATAAGGACATTGGTATGTGACAAATCTGTTTAAGTGTAAAAGTTGCATACAATTTTTCCTTGATATTCCTCCAGATGTTCTTTGATTTTTTTCCTGATCATATCAGAAACTAGTATTTCTAGATGCACATATATACTTTCTAGATGTAGTTCTAGTCCAAATCTGCAATCTTTAGTATAGTACTCTAGTGCCCAAAGTATGACAGCCCTGGCGCATACAGCTGTTGCCACAAGTCCCTGGGAACTAGAATCATTCTGCAGGGAGGACTGGGAATCAGTGCTTTACCTTTTAAAGATTCTGAATTTCCTTTGGTGGGTGCTAGACCGAAGTCCTCAACAACTCAGTTATCACTGTTTTATTATTATTATAAACATGACTGACACCTTTCATCTGTGAAAAATGTTTTAATTGCCTGTTTCCATCCACATCCTCTGGAGATGAAGGCAAAGAAGCTTGCTGTCCATAATGAGAGAAGTATCTTCTTTGGGCTGAGATTGTTCCACCCCCTTTCTATTGTGCTTGCAATCCTGCAGCATAGGCCACAGACGCCTTGCCTAGTAAGTCAGGCATTGCACAAATAAGATGTGGCCTGATCTTCTCAGAAGGTGTAAAGAACACAGATATTTGCATCACCTAGAGAATTTGCCTTCTCTTCCCATCTTGCCACACAGCACATACAGAGTAGTATACACCTGTCACGAGCCATTTCCCCCCTAAAAATCATTACAGGAACCATCACCCTGGGGAGTCTGCAGAGAACCCCACACCCATAATTATGTTCTATTGAGAGAACCTGCCCCACACCCAATTAACTTATCTGTTAGCGGAATGTGCCTCACATTCCAGCTATCCAGGGAACTAGGTGTGGCAACTTGTGACTTCTTGGCCTACCTCCTGGCCTACATGACGAACCTGGCCTAAGTGACCTGGAACACACGGCAAGAGTCCAGTTTCCCTACCCTTCAGGGGCTATATAAGCAGCAACCATGATCCTAATAAAGGGGGCTTTGACAAATCTGCTTGGCCTCATTCTTCTGTCCTAGCTCATTCCCTTCCAGGTAGCGCCCCTTCGAGACCCTGGAATAACTGATTGCAGGGTGGGTTACAACCCCTAGACTGAATGACCCACCCAACGCAATCGACATACACCCATCACAACTGGATCTGAACTAACCACACCCTTGGCTCCTTAAAAGGAGTCTGAAAATTAGTCTTTGGCTCATCCTATACTGTGTGGCTATACCAAGCATAAACAAGTAAAAACCAAAACCCAATGCTATATTTTTTGAAATTTTTTTCTCCCATCTTTTTCCCCCTCCACACACCTCTTACCTGCTTAAGGATTTCAGCAGCCGTCTCGTGTGAACAATCAAATATCACATAAAACTCTTTGCCTTTCTTCATCTCCTTGAGCAGAGGTTTGGCATCTTTATTCCCAGAGGGCAGCTGGCGGATTTTGATTTTAATGTTGTATCTGGAGGGAGCTTTGATGAGCTCTTGCAAACGAATTAGACCTGGAAAATAGCATCCAATCATGCACAGAGATAGATCTGTGTTGTTTATTGCCATTTACAGTCAAAGCAGAACATTCCCAAAATGTATCAAGCAGCCACCAACCTAAAGGTTACACTATTGACTTCCTATTTGTCATCTCTCCTTGTCTGGTAGTTTGCACTGATATTTTCCATTTGTGGGGCTGTGGCTTGGAAGCACAATTTTCCCAAGTGCATTTTGAATTTATTTAGCATGCAATTGTCCTTTTAGCCACTCAGCCAACACTCCAAGTCTTTAACATATCAAGACTGTGACTATGCAATTTCAACAAACAAAATCTTGCTCAAAGTTTCTAGAGGTACCATTTTTAGAACATGTTTTCAAAAACCTGTTCTTATGAATATGTGTGTGAGTGTGCATGCATGTGCATGTGTATGTATTTGGACCAGCAGAGGCCAGAAGAGGGCATCCGATCCCCTGGATCTGGAATAACTGAAGTTGTGGGCTGACTGAAGTGACTGCTGGGAGCTGAATTCTGGTCCTCTGCAAGAGCAGGGAGTTAAGTGATGAGCCACCTTTCCAGTACAAACTCCTGGTATCTTTTAAATCTCAATGATTACAAAGATTTCTTGGGGTTGCTAACTAACGAAAACTTATCATCTAATATTTATTTGCAGCATGTTGTTTACCAGCTAGTCAGCTCGCTTTGTGTAATCTTATAATCAGACTATTTATAAATGACTCATAATAACTCTTGCTAATACTTTAGAATGGTATGCTGGTTACGTCCTTTTTTGATGAAAATGTACTATAGGATTTGGGGTGAGTAGGATGGTAAAAGCAGAAATGTCATTTAACATATAACTGCCGGTGTTTGTAGCAAAGTGTATGCAGCAGCCTAAATTGATGGAATATTTGCTTTGCCACAGGTCTGGATTCCCTGAGTTGCACTTTTCCCTAATGGAAGTCCATTGCTAGGCAAGGTGTACACCTGTGGAAAAGCTCCATCTCAGGTCACTGATATTAACTGGTGTTCGCTAGACTGCAGGATGCTGCCCCCTCCTCTCTCAAGGACTCCAATCACATGGGGAAACCTACTTGAAAAGAAAGTCTGCAGTTCAGTGCCTTCGGGATTTGTTAGCTAGAAGTAATCAACAGAGAATATTAAACTTTATGAGTGTTCAGATGGAAATTGTATGGAAATTGTGCTGTGCCTGGTTCAGGACGGCACATGGTTTCCAGCCCCTTCCAGACGTGAGACCTTTGCTTCTCTCTCTGTTATTTTTTATTGCTCTCCCCCAGTGGTCGCATTTGTTTCAGCTTCCATTGGAAAGGCTTCTCCAACACAAGAGACAGGTTTGATTCTGAAGTGTGGCCGGTTTTTCAAGACACTATTTTTAGAGTTAAACTGAGTAGAGACGAGGGATAATGTTGCACAACCATGTTAAGAGTTAGCATATTTTCCACCCACCCCTTTCTTCTTTTCATAAAATCAAAATTAGAAGAGCAGATTTCTTGGGCTCTCACTCCTTTTCAAATCAGTCAAGAACTAAAACTGAAACACTCCTTTTTTTTTAACCTACTAAGTTTCTTTTTCTGAACCACCACCAAATGCTAAGAATGAAGTTGGGGGTGGAATGATGAATATATATATATATATATACATATATATATATATATATATGAATATATATATTGTGTGTATGTGTGTGTTATTTCTTTTATTACCTAAACCTCATAATAGCACTATGAAGCAATTTATCATGTTTATTATTTCAGATACAGAAACCAAGGCCCAGAGCAATTAAATGACTTACTTGGGGCTACAAGGATACTTGGCAGGATCCATAGCTTAAGATTATCTGTGAGTCTAATGCTTTATCTTTCTGTGTCCCCACCCTGCCTTATAAATACAGGCCATTGGTCCTGAGGGAGCATAGAAGCTTCAAATGGTTTGATGAGAAGGAAAAACAGAACCAGAGACAGATTTTCCTATCTTCCTTTTTTCAGGCTTCATGTTCTGCTATCACATATTTTTTTTCTTTTTTAGCTTGAGCATGACCACCTAGGAGAGCTCAATGTGTCCTTTAGACAAAATGGAGAAAACATTTTAAAACTACATTTCATATGCTGCAAAGAGCTGCCCCTTTTTCTTTGTTGAATGGAATGTCAACCTCGAAGCACATCTTTCTAGCCAGGACCTTGTTGGCATTTAAAGTTGACAGACTCCAGTTCCCAATTCATTCATCCACATTCGAGAGGACATGTTTCCTGGGTGCTCATGAGATCCTAAGCCTGTGCTGAACTCTGCAAGGCCTTTAAAGCTCGGAAGAGATTTTCATGCTGGAAAGTATCCCTGCGTGGATGGAGTATCATTGCCATTTGTTTTCAGACATAGGAAGCTGGCTGGGCCTACTATAGGATGGAGGTGACCATCCTATAGCAGGTTTAGGGCTTAAAGTCAAGTCTGCCTCCTGATTCCCAAGTAGGGTTTTTTCTCCTTAATCAGTGACCCTGCCCGGTTCTTGTACTTTGGAACAAGTGATTAAATGAATAGTTCAACTAACTAAGTTACTAGGCCATCAAATAGAAAAAGCAAAATCTAGACGAGAATAAATGCATCAGACCTTCTCTTAGCCTGCTGTGACCAACCACTTTTATAAGTTTCAGCAGAGAAAGATTTTCATGCCAAGAGAGGGAAAAGGTCAGTTTCTAATTGGCATAATTTTCCCTTTATCATTTATCATTTAGCTTGTAAATGAGAAGATGCCTTCCTTGGTGTGTAGGTGAATTGGCTTTGGGGAAGCAAGGCTCTGCAGACTAAAAGGTTATAGACTCAAGGTGTGAGAAGGGCAGTGACTTCACACCCGTCTTCCCGAAGCAATAGCTGCCTTCATGGCAAATGATGCTGAATCTACAATTTAGAAGGCTTTCTGCCTCCACAGAAGAGAACATTCACTGAAAGCTTTCCTTTATCTTTGCAGTTTGTGGTACTCAATCAAGCATTTCATGTTTCATTGCAATGACTAGTTAAAATTATTTGTTAAACAGATAATGACTTTAAGAAAAAGGATTTAAGAGCATTCCCCAGCTTTCTGACATCCTCCTTTGGATGCCTGCCCTGAATAGGTGACCCAACCCTAACAAGACTTCTGTTAAAGGCAATACCAATGGTACTTGCTAAACTAGGAATGTGGTGGTTTTTCTAGCCCGTCCAGGTGGAGGCGTTTTAGATTGAAATGAAGATCAGGAATGGACCAGACAGACCCAAGTAAGTGACTTCTGTGGGATAATTCTCTTATACATGGTAAAGATTTGTCACTCGCTTTGGTTTAATAAAATGCCAATTGACCAGTAGACAGGCAAGAAGTATTGGTCGGTATCCAGGCAGGGTGACCAGACTAAGAGAATTCTGGGAAGAGGAAAGGCAGAGACACAGTTGCCAGCCAAATGCAGAGGGAGCAAAAGATAATGCCTTACTGAGAAATGGTATCAATTCATGTGACTAAACACAGATAAGAATAATGTGTTAGTTTATGTTGTAAGAGCTAGCTACTAATAATCCTGACTAACAGGCCAAGCAGTTTATAACTAATTTAAGCCTCTGTGTGTTTATTTGGGACTGAATGGTTGTGGAACCAGATGGGACAGAAACCTTAGTATAAAGTAATATTATATAAAATTGATCTCATCTTGACTCTCAATGTCATGAATGAGAGAGGAAGGTTCTGGACCAAAAAACGACAAAGGAGATGCCACAATGAAATCCAATGAATGCTGCTAGGGCAATTAGGGAAAAGATGGAGGATGAGTTTGCGAGACAGTGTTGTATCATTGCTAAGCTTCCTACATTTCATGGATTGGTATGTGGCTGTAGTGAAGAAAGTTGGTTTCTAAAGTAGGTACAACAATGTATTAGTGAGCAAAAAAGTCAAAATATCTACAATTTACTTTCCATACAATTTTCTATAGAGCTCATACTGTTACTCATACGTTTTTTTCATGGTTCTAAAAATTGAACCCAGAGTTTTGATCTACACATTGAAAGTTTGAGACAAAGTGTAGTATGCTGTATAGCCCAGGATGCCATGGGGCTTCTGGTCTTCCTGCCCCAGCCTGTCTTGTTCATCCTGGCTGCCTGGTTAGCTTAGCCCCAGAATAACCACACAGAAACCAAATTAATTAAATCACTGCTTAGCCCATTAGCTCTAACTTCTTATTGGCCAACTCTTTCATTTTAGTTTAACCCATTTCTATTAATCTGTGTATCACCACGTGGCACTGGCTTACTGGCTAAGTTTCAGCAGCACATCTTACCCTGGTGGCAGATCCATGGCACCTTCTCTCCTTTCTTTCTCCCAGCATTCAGTTCTGTTTTTCATGACTACATAAGTTCTGCCCTATCAACAGGCCAAGGCAGTTTTTTTATTCATTAACCAATGAAAATAACACATTGACAGAAGGACCTCCTACACCATCATTCCTCACTTGTAGTTATTCTTATGTTGAAAGAATGAGAGAATATTAAAATGAATTTGGTCCATTAGAAATGGCTACTGCGTCTGGATGAAACCATGGGCGCACAAGTTTATTGTACACCTCTTGAAACTTTTCTCTAAGTTCAAAGACAAAACTCCTGGCTATGAAGTAATATCACACGTGTCCCCTCTGATCCTCACTCCCAGGCATGCAATTAGAAACCTAAAGTCGAAAGTGCTTTAGAGCAAATTCAGGTTGTTTCACATGAATGTGAGCTAGGCTGCATATAGAGATAACATTTAAAAAGTGTCTGCGTGGCCAATTCTAAACATTTTGGTTGTCTCTTCTGTGTATTCAAATATGACACAGAAAAAAATGCTGATCTGCTTCTGTATTGAGAAGCTGTGGCATGGGGCAGAACATATGGAAGAGGAATAAAAACCCCCTCTGTTTCCTGTGGGAATGTAAAAAATGCTATGTGTCTTCTTCAATAATAACAGGCCTTGCTATTTGCACTGTCTCTCTTTCCCAGCATGCTGCT